GATTAATTGCATACCCTATAATCCCTATATGAGTAACCAGGAATACGACGGAAAAGAATATTAGATTATTTTTATTTTATTTTAATAAGCTTCGTTAAAGTATAAATAACATAGTAAACATAACTTAAAGGTAATTTAAAGTGATGAAAAGAAAAAAAATGGCTGGGAGACCACAACAGCGGAAGCCAATTACTGTGGACCAATTACTGGTTGTCTCGCTTTCCGCTATAGGCTATCTCTAAAACAAGGAACGGGGAATGGGGGAACGGGAATGGGGAACGGGAATGGGAATCCTCTAAAAGGTGGATTCTCTAAAATAGGGAATCTCTAAAAGGTGGAATCTCTAAAAGGAGGAATCTCTAAAAGGCGGAATCTCTAAAAGGCGGAATCTCTAAAAGGCGGAATCTCTAAAAGGCGGAATCTCTAAAAGGCGGAATCTCTAAAAGGCGGAATCTCTAAAAGGCGGAATCTCTAAAAGGTGGAACCTCTAAAAGGCGAGTTTTCGTTGATATCAATTTCACTAGATATACGACTCGTGGCTGTCGTCGCTTGCGACAATAGAGAGCTTATGCACAGACGTTTTTGAGCCACGGACGGCAACCGGAAGGCGAATGTTCTTGTTTTTGGTGCCCTTTTAGAGGATTCCCTATTTTAGAGATTCCGCCTTTTAGAGATTCCGCCTTTTAGAGATTCCGCCTTTTAGAGGATTCCCATTCCCGTTCCCCATTCCCGTTCCCCCATTCCCTGTTTTAGAGATAGCCTTCCGCTATACGCGTATGTTGCAAATGAATCCGCCCTTAAAAATTAACTCAACTGTTTTTTTTTCTTTCAATAGTGTCAAAAAATTTTCTCTGTAGCTCCTGTATAGGAATTTGTTTGCAATTGAGCCAGCAAACAGTGTTATATTATGTTGGGCTTTTACATGTAAATGATATTAATCATCACCAACCATTGCAGCAATCCTCTTGCAAATAAGGCATTTAGGATCCAAAGGAGACCTTACTATGACAATATCACCTCTGTAAACATTAGAGAAGAATGAATGTCAGTAATAATAGCTCAACTTAATCATCACTGACAGCCAATGCATTTTATTTAGGCTGCAATTGCCGTACACAATAATTTATTATATAATTGTTATATCCAACTATGTACATTGTAGATCTATTTTGCAGAAGATTATAGCCTCAATGTATAATAATATATATATATATATATATTTTATTAATAACTTGCCACAAGTTTGTTTAGTATCAAACTCCATAGCTACCAATCAAGCAACCAGCAAAATTCAGTGTCAACAATGTAGTTGTAACTTACTGCACTGGCTACAGTACTGATCTCTTAATCTTCCCGACCCCAGTGGGTTGGAATCTTTGCTGGCATCATTGTTTACAAGCTGATGAGCACAAATTTTGAAATTTAGGCCATCCCCATAAAATGTTTTGTTTCCTATCACCCTCTATCTCGTGAAAGTGGGTCAGTTGGTCGGTAAAAAAAAAAGAAAAAAAAGAAAAGCCGAGAAACAAAATATTGACAAATTAATACATATTAAATAATTCTAAGCGAGCCTTGATTTTATCTTCCCCGTGACCAACATTTTGTTACGAACCGATATCACTCGAAGACGTCATTACTGGGCTGATTTAGATGTAAATTAAAGCAAATTAAACTTGGAATCACGCAAGAAAAGGGCGCAGGCAATGAATCAGAAACTTTTTTTAACTTTTTGAAAAAATTGGGTCGGTCGGGTGATAGGAAACAACACATTTTATGGGGATGGCCTTAGCCAAAAACAAACAAACAAATATTAATCATTTACTAGCTAGAAAAGCGAGCAAAGTCTAATCAAATGTTATAAACTGTTGTGCCGAGTTGTAATGTAACCTACACTGTAATGGTTAACAGTCATTATAAATTTGTTGTACACTGTATCTACACTGTACATGCATACATACATATGAGAGTGTACTGTACAAGTGCCAGTCTGACTAATTTAAATTTATGCTAATTAATTGCTTGACAAATTAAAGGAAGATCACCCTATTTGTGACAGTGGTAAATGTTTTGTGTAAGTACAGTATGGTGGATAAATTGTAGGATCTGCCAATACACTGTATGTACATGATCTGTAACTTTCAGAACTCAAAAATAAATTTCCCAGGGGAGCTAGTTCCTGGAACCCTAAACATTAATTATTTCCTGTCGTACCTTGCTGCAATATTTTGTCACTTACTTCTTTATTGTCCTGAACTGCGCACTCAAATGCTCTGTGATCACAAGATCTCCATCCTGCTTCACATTGAAAGTGGGGATCATAGAAGGCCCTGAAAGCTGCACTGGCCAACATAAAAAGTATCATTAAGACATGTTGTTAGGCAAATAATTAGATACTTCCTCATTGTATTTACATGCAAAATATACAATGTACATGTACACATAATTTGTCAATCTATAGAACTTTATATAGTTTGCTGTGTAAAGCTCGCGCTGTGATTGGTTTAGAACCGTCCTCTATTGGAGTAGAGACAGGCAAAATGACGTCACGAATGGTGGTAAAACACACGCGAGCGCCCTGCTCCAACAAATCCTTCGCATCGCCGTCTCAAAACAGAGAAAATTATTCATCAAACTGGAAATATTCCGTAGGAAATTCAAATTATGTAGATCAATTAATACAAATTTTAAATCGGCTTGGCTAGAACTTGGAGGCAAATACGATGGACTTTTAGCTCATTGTGAACAGAATCTGAGAAATTAGAGCGGAATCATCGTTCGCCGTGAAGCAACTTTAATACATCTCGAACTTGCAGTAAAAATTTAATTCAGATTGTTTTTCCTCATACATGTATCTGAGGATGGAATAGAGGTTAGTTTCTAACCTTTGTTGTCTCAGTTCTCACCCAGAAAAAAAAGAGGGGCACTTACTCAAGAGGGGGCGCTTATTTCAATTTTTGGTCGATAGGAGGGGCGGGGCACTTATTCGAGGGAGGGGGGTGCTTATTAGAGGATTTACGGGTAGTTTATTTAAATAATATATTAATTCCATTAATTCCAGGATTCCTTCGCAATTCTTTTCCTACCTACCAAGTGTACAATATGTTATTACATGTACATGTACAGTGCAAATACGCACCAAAACGAGTGCAAATGTGAGACTGTATTACACTCGTCTTAGTTCCCTGACTGCACGCTATGAAAAACACTGTTGAAAGCTTAGATTTTAGGAACAAATTATGTTGTTATAATAAACAATTTATTCAGCGGAAAGTTGTGTAATATGGCAGGGCATTTTTACTGGTCAAATATGTTTATTTTTTTTCGCCTAAAGGCTAGAAAAAATTACCATGCGAGCATAGTCGCTTTCGAGTCATATATTTACACATATTTCCGCTGAATAACCTCTTTATATTATAATTGCAAAAGAATACACTGTGCTTTGAGAAAATGATTAATAGCTGATCACGTTTCTAGCCTCATACAAACGATATCACCACATGAGGGCAGAGATCAAATTCCAAGTCTGAAGTTTCCTGTTCTTTTGTGTATAGAGATGAAATTTGAGATAAGGGAAAGTAGTTTGTAATTTGAGTGGTCATCTAGACAAAACATCCATGGATTGAAGGCGTTTTCCATATGCTTTATTAAAATACCTTGGAGGAAACGGCAACATGGATGTAGTAAGTGAAAGTTGATCAGTTAATAATGACAACATGTTGTTTATTTGTTCTTATGTTATTTGTAAATGTATCATTTCGCACACAAGTAAGAGTTCTGCCTGAGTTCATGATCAACATCTGAGATCTCAAGGCAGTGTAATTGTACATGTACTTCGATTTTATTTTCGACAAAGCTTTACCGAACACCAGCGTAACTTGTACTGACTACTCTGAAAACAACATCAAAGCTGTAAACGACTCGGGAACAAGCTATATCTGTTTCGATCCGTCTCTATATCTGTCTCTATTTTTATTTCGCTTAAGATTACACAAGATCAGTGAAAAATTAGGCGGATCGCATGTTATAATACGTTATGCCTGGTTGATCGATGCTTCTGAACTCAGCTCTTTCGAATGTATCATGCCATGTGTATTGCTTACAAATGTAAGCTTACATGTAGCTGTACGTTTCAGTTTAATACATGGATATAAAGCTTTACGTACCACGGTAAACTCGGCCACATGCTCCAATACATAGTTGAAAAAACAGCAAGTAGTAACAGTCACAACTCCTCCGTACAATAATTTGGACACAAATCCCAAAGTCATTTCATCCTAGCTTCTGTTCAGAGAGATCAACTTTCCGCCATCTTTGTTTCAGCTGTCAACATTCTTCAGGAGCTTAGACGCATGCGCATGGCGAGAGTTCAACATGGCGGCTTATCTAGTTTGTTTGACGACTGATGGCGGAATTCCACTGTTTACTCGAACGAAAGGAAACCTTCCACAGGTACAATGCTTAGAGTTTGTTTCTAAAACGTATGTCTCTCCGTCTGACAGGAGAGGGGGTAGAAGTTATTTTCCTCTTGCCATTGGTCCAGCTTTAATCTGGGTGCTGAGTTTACATGAAAACAACATGAAAACTCTGAGACTCCTGTTGGGGGGACTCGGAATTTTTTTCCGAGTAGCTTGTGTCACTGACAGAATAAGATCTTTCTCATAGTTCTACTTAGCCTGATTCTCAGACGGTCCGACTCGGTCCCCCACTCCCTCTCTCCCCGTCGGGGAGAGAGGGAGTGGGGGACCGAGTCGGACCATCTGAGAATCAGGCTAAGTTCTACCAAGCTTAAAAATAAAAACTGTTCTATAGACAACAACAACAACAATGACACTTTTAATATTTGAAAACTTTAATAGCAACCCGCAAGTAACTTTAGTTAATCGTGGCAGGTTTCTACACACAGAATAATGGGAAAATAGAAAAGAACATATTTAGAAACCTATGAGAAAGATGTTTTATCAGTCAGCAGTGACACAAGCTACTCAGAATTTTTTTTCCGAGTTTCCCAACAGGAGTCGAACCTATGACGACCTATGACCCTCTATACACCAGTTGGACGCTCTACCACTGAGCTACAGGAGACTTTTGGGAGCCTAGGTCAAAATGTGACAATTACTTCCCACATACTGCTAGATTTGTCAGAAATGATCATGGTGAATTTTAAGCTTAGTAGAAATATGAGAAAAATGTTTTATCAGTCAGTCACACAAGCAACCTACTGTAGCTTGACACTCAGACATAATAACGTAAGGGAGAGCTAGTAAATATTGCCCATTCCGAAGTTCAAATGGAGACTGGGGACAAGTTTTTAAATTTTTTA